CTCCCCAAGGTTTCACCATCAACGGTTCTTGCTCGATCCATTCCACTCCTGAAGGTTGTCGGTTTTCGGCAACTGTTGGTTCAGACTCCAGTTTTTGATGCACGCATTTGCACAATGGCGCAACGGTGAAGGGTTTGGAATAGTCGAAACTTCGAATGATGTGAGGAAACTAGTAGAATAATAATGGAGCTATTTGGCTCAAACGCTTAGTTACACGATGGTGGTTTGTTCACTCCGTGCAAATGTGCGCTCGCGTGCACGAGGCAGTATGACGTCAGAAAGTCCCGAGTAGCGCAAGAAACCTTGCAAAAGCACTCAAGAGCTGTGCTCTTCGCTCGCTTCAAAGCGAGCTTGTGTTGAAATGGAACTGAAAGGGTGAGCTCATGTCTTTCCAGATGTGCATTGGCACTTCTTGGACAACTGCCATGTGGACATATTTTTCCTTTAAGCGTCAAGGAGACATGATTGCCTTGCCGCTGTCTCGTGTTTTACGGGAGAAACAAAAACCCCTCCGGGCGCTCGCGAGTTGCGCGCGTGCGAGTCGCCTGCGCTTAGGGCGGAATGGGAACGCCTTTTCGCCGGCATCGACGAGGAGAACTTGCCGCCCTTGAGCGCTAAGCGCCTTCGGAGAAAATAATCCAATCCACTTTTGTCTTGTTTTTTTCGTTTTTAGCACTAGTTGATCTTCGTGGTACACATGGTACAGTCCGTCCCACCAAAGGATGGGTACACTCAGGGAAACCAACTCGCAGGGTGCAGGGGGAACCAGTTGGATACGGGAGGATTCCCCCGTTTGAATCACCTTGACTAAGTAACTGATATGGGAAATGGCGCCGAGGGAATCCCCATATCCCCGCTCCCTCTGTATCCCCGCTTGATCGTTTCTGCGAAATCCACTTTTTTTTGTTGTTGGCCCGGTTGGCACTCGAGGGACTTGAAGGATTGAATATGGGCTCTGTCTTTTGTGAGATTGGCCTCCTCCCAAATTGTGGTTTCCTTTTTGGCTTCCCTTAAACAATTTACTCAGAAATGGTACCCTCAAAACAGACAGACCCATATGGGCTTTGTTCAGGGGCCAGATGGACCCCTTCGGATGGCTGCAAGGGAAGCCAAAGGAAACCAACCGCCTGGAAGCAGCGGTCCCTAATTTTCAGAAACACCCATACGTTTTTTGTGTTTTTTGTTTTGCAGGGGGTGAGAGAAAAACCGAGGGATTTCGCAACAGGTGCTCCACGGCAGTCGCGTCTGAAATGGAGAAGCATCACATGGCAGCTCGGCGGTAAAACGCGCGCGCGAGCGACGCGTTTTTGTTTTTTGTTGTAAACAACAATCGGCTGGTTGGATGGCTGGTTGATTGGTTGGTTGGTTGCTGGATTGCTGGGTTGATACGTAGCACAGTGGGGGTAAAGCCACCAGACTTTGGGCACCTTCAAATCCCAACCAAAAGGAGGTTGTGTTGAACAATAGTGGTTTCCGCAACCAGAGCTTCCGCAGCATCTGGAAGCACTGGGTGATAAAACCAAAAACATCTCTCATGAACACACGGGGAAACGGAGCCTCAACGCAAAGCCGAGCTACAAAGAGCAACGTTCGCTGTCAGCTTCTTTTAAGAGTACATGATGCCTGCAGGGGCAGGCATCATGCCCAGTGTGCTGGCAACACAAGTTGTGGAATCCTCCAACAGTGCGACCAAACCTATTGCTAAGGAAAGAACAAATTAACATTGCCAACTGCACAAGCAGCGCTGGCACGTGTTTGCCTGATACACTCACACGCGCACACACACACACACACCACACACGCACCCACGAACGCAGGCACGCACGCGTGCGCGCGCGCCTGTCCACTTTTGCCCTTAATTTGGAGGTAGTAAAAGGTATAATAGAAGTTTGCGTGTCACAAGGTCGGTCCAAGCAATGTTTGCATCACCACCTGAGCGACAATAGAGCAAACAAATTAAAGGGCAACCTGTTTTGAAGGGCAGAGTGGGACCAACGGCCCTGCAAACAAAAGAGCATGTGTGCCTTGCTGAGATCAGCGAAACACCATCCCATGATGCGACTTCCTGGCTCAAACCGCAAAGCAAGTAGCAAGTGTGATTGCTCTCGACGAGCGCACACCTCCCACAGCCGGCAGGTGTGCAGTTCTGTGCATGTACCGTTTATCAGTTGTTTTTCTCAAGTGAGGCGTATACTCTTTCTACGGTGGCTATGTAGTGGCTGTACATCCTACTGTTCATGAACAAAATCCACCACCACCTAAAAAACCCTGGTTTCTGATGATTCCCTGTATAAATACCAACTGAGTACTGGTTTCAACCATGGTGTCAACGTGGTGCGAACGGATTTCGTCCGACAGTTTTTCAGCCCTGGGGCTGGTTTGGTGGTTTGGAGGTGGGGTTTCCATGGACGTCCAAGGAGCTTTTGCGGACGTTCTCCCAGTCGGACCTGCATGACGTCTTGAAGGGCCCCAGGCTGAGACGTGATACAGGCGCGGTTGAAATCAGAGAGACTTAGGGGATATGGATATGATGTATCAAAGAAGCACTTATTAGGTATCAAATATAATACATGTATATATATATATATATATGTGTGCAAACTATTCCCATGACAACCGCAAGAAAGAAAGGACAGAAGGAGCAACCAAGAATAATAAGGAAGAAAGGAAGGAAAGGAAGCAAGGAAGGAAGGGAGGGAGGGGAGGGGAGGGAGGAGAAAGAAAGGGAGAGAGGGAGAGAGGGAGGAAGGTTTAGAAAGTGATACAAGAGACAGGAGCTACAATGTTAGTATCTTTACGAACAGTTCCAAAAGCTGTTCTGCGACTTTTTCCATATCTCTCCAATCGATTGTTTTACGCCTGAGAGTTGCTTCCGTCTTCTTGTTAACTATGCGTGGGTCAACAGGAACAATTCTAGGACATGTTGCAGTGGATCTAGGATTACATGATACAAATTATGTTGTTGCACATGTTCAGTTCGATCTTTCTTTAGGAGCTATAATCGTCATCTTCTCTGGAATAATATTCATTGCAGAAAAGGTTGTTGGTAGTAAACATGTATCACACTTATCCTCATGTAGGGAAGGAGGGAAGGAGGGAACGCAATGAAGGAAGGGGACCCACCCTAAATCCACCTGGATTCACCCTGAACCCACCCTAAACCGCCCTACACCAAGCCTGAACTCACCCTACGCACACCCTAAACCAGCCAACCCTTAACCAGCCCACCCCATCAAACCCTAAACAAACCAACCCAGCCATGCCCGACAAGCGCTTTGTAATGTGGCCTGAGAAGTGTTATTTTGACGACGCGGTGTCCAATGTTTTTTTTTTTTTTTTTTTCTGTGTGTTGCAGCAAACTGGTGCCCAATAAGTGTTTGCTTGGTGCTGAGTAGGGAATGACCCTCCGGGTTTTGGGAATGAACCAGAAGGGGATTCCCGTAAATCGGAAGTTAAATCGGGGATGTAGGGAGTGACCCGGTTTTGGGAATGAACCTAGGGATTCCCATAAACTAAAGGAAACCATGCAGGATGGTTCGGGGTCATTCCATGTCTCATTCCCTGCCTGTCAAACCAGCAAGTTAGTTTGATGCCTCATTGGACTTCGCTCAGCTTGTCGTTATAGCCGGGAAGAGCGCAGTGTCCAGCCAAGGGAAGCACAGGCTCATTGGTGTGACATTATTCATTTGAATATGTTCAGTCCGAGTATTGTTCAATCCCCAGCTGAAGCTAAACGTTGTAACATGGGCATTTCAAGATGAATTCCAAGAGTGCCTCATATTGCTAAGGTACTTTGCTTTTCTATGCCCAAAGAATCCTTAGCACAACTTCAGATTCCAGGCATTGACACTCTTGAATCCGGATAAGAGAGTATGCTCAGTACCTTCGTGCCTCTAGCATGTCCTAATTTACAATTATTAGTAAGCACCTACATCAAAGGTCCAACACCACCCCAGAAGAAATCCGTTGATTTCTTTGGGGGCCAGCCAAAATCATGTCTCACATTGACACTTTGGGGGGCTTTCGACGCATGACAAGTCCGGAGCGCCAGGATCCCGCAGTGAGACGAACTGCGCTGGGCTGTCCAACCTGGCAACAGCCATTAGACGCGCATGGACCTAGAGTCAGTTGGTTGAACAACACCGGATCAAGCCGCCCTGAAGAAGGCGAGAAGAGGCGGTCTAAACCTGAGAGGTTCAAACCGCTCTTTCCGCGAATCTGCGAAGACTATTATCAAAAGGCCTCCTGTCCACTTCCATGCTTGGAAAGAGGGTACCCCGGGCTTGGCCCAAGTCTTACGCGGCCGGAGGTTTCAAAGGCAGTCGTTGCTCGGCGAAGGACTCGTCGCGGTGACGATGGCCGGCTTTGGCGCGTATAGCGAGATCGGATTGATAGGTTCTGACTTCTGGCGAAGGGGCGGCCGTCCAAAACAAGCGTGCCAATGACTGACTGCTAGCGGATGTCAGTGCTCTTCTCGCTGTAGGCTTACCTGAGTAATGGCCGAAATCATCAATTGGTCATTTTGTACTACGTGAGAATCATTTCTCACGGCTCTTCCCACGAAATGGCAGAAATTGACAAACCATTTCTGCAGACAACAGTCCTGGCCTGACTTACCTGACCAGAGCCAGTTGAGCACCCGAAAAACACCAGAATCAATTGAGTGGCGTTTTGTCCCCGCAGCAAACATGTATAGATGATCATTTTTATCAACAAATCAGGTAGCATCGCACTGCCGCGGCAGGTTCGAAATTGTTGTCACTCACGTCCTGAGTTCAACTTTCGTCTTCTTGGGTTCAGACCATTTTGCAGGCCGTCCACTAATATGCTGGTAGAAACACTTGGCTGTGTGTCAAAAACAGGTACCCAAACTGGGTTGCCCTGGTAAATGAACAAATCCAACTACAACCTGCCTTCCAATTCCTGGTTTATTTGTTGACCCATACCCAAATTGTCAATGGGTTTGGGGGTTTGGGCTGTTGCTGGGTTTCTGTTGGCAGGTACAATGCCCTGTCCGAGCTGCCCGAGAGCGCCAAAGCCTCGCTTGCGAAGCCAAGCCCAGCGTTGGCGGGATCCATTTCTGCTGAGTTTTTCTTTAAAACGCGATCGGGTCCACCGAGTCCGGGGGGAAAAACGTGCTTGGATCCAATTCTGTATTCAGCTTTTGGGATTGTAGCAAACAGTGCGGATCAATAGACGGCTCCCGCAACTAAGATTCAAGGAGTCCCGCTTAAATTATGCACCCTCAATATGAATCGTCCTGGGGTTATGAATCACGGGTTCCCTTGTTCCGATGACTCCAAATTGGGGATCAAGTTGTTTTTCTTGCTAGGGTGTTGCGTTTGTTAAATGGGCTGGCTGGCTGGCTGGCTGGCTGGCTGGCTGGTTGGTTGGTTGGTTGGTTGGTTGATTGATGGGTTGCTTGCATTTCCAGCAACACAGGCCTCACATGGACCTAGAAAAGTTGGATTTGACGCCAGTTGAGAGTTGCTCGGGTTAGTTTTAGGGTGAGTTGTTAGGCTGCCTGGGATCTTAAGGAGGGCGGGTCTTGAGTTTGTTTACCCCACAAGTCAACCCAAAACCCACCCAACAGCCAGCATATCAGACCTCGGTCGAGCCCAAATGAAACCCAAGACAACCCAACGCCAGCCTCACTAAGATTTCAGGCAGCCTAAACAACTCACCATAAGCCACCCAAGCAACTCACTTCCATCAAGCCCGATCCAATGGGCAGCCTGGTGCATGCTGGGGATGTTGCTACGCGCTAGTAAAATACCACTCTGAGCAGAAAGCAAAAAAACACCTCCTCCTCAAATTGGTTTTTAGGGGTCAAAGCCAGCCCTTTGTGTCTCAGCTTGGGGAGTCAGCGTGACTTTAGCCAAGTAATCAAGTATTACGACAAGGGGGTGCAAGAATCCAGTCGTCCTTGGTAGCTTTACATGAGATGTCCTTGGATTTCCATAATTTCGCTTCGAAAGGGTCCTATGTTTGTGAAGGCTTCCGGAATGGCAGAAGGAAGTCCCTTGTCAATCGTATGCCAGGACTTCCTATATTGCTACTTTGGGTGGTGTTACACATCGAGTTTCTTTTTGGTGGGGTGCACCCATGATGTTTGAAGGGGAAATATGGGGCAGTTCTGTACACGTGCTCAATTCTGTATGGCCGTTTATGTATGCTGTAAAATGTTTTTTTTGTTACATGACCCAAACCGGGTATCAAAGCACGCATTGTGCGTTTGATGCGAAGAAACACATGCATTGCAGGGTTTGAACAAAGATCAGACAGTTTTTATTTGGGAGCCTTCTCTTTTGGCCACTGTCACATAGCTCGCAATAGCTCGCAGGTTCGCCTTTGGGCATGACCACCGCAGAAACGAGTCTCGAGTCTCACTCAGAGTGAGCATAAAATGACCGTGATGTAGGACCTTTACTTGAATTCTTATTTCGGGTTTTGGAAGTGTAGAAAGTTCAGGTCCCTAGACAAAGATCGGCGCGAGTCCTAGGTGTGCAGCTTGGCCTCATTGACCTCGCTCAGTGTCAGTCAGCGCCTAGGAAGATCCAGGATTCCTCTCGGAAGTGTAGCCATGAAGTCTTCAGCATGTTTACACCACTATTGTTCTGGGTGAACTATAACGACCTCACACGACCTCACCCCAAATGGTGGTTTATGTGGGGAATAGCCGCCCAACCACCTTATTTCAGGTTGGTGAACTATTATAATTCACCCATATTGTTGAAGCAAGCTCTTTTTGGCTAATTACTTACCCTTTAAAGGCGACATAATCGGGGCTGGTTGTTCACACACATGTTGCAACCTTGCTATTGAAGGCATCTTGTGCAGGTACTGGTCCATTGCTCACATGCAGCACACACTTGACAGCATGGTGTGTGTGTGTGTGTGTGCGAGTGTTTGTTTTTGAGGGTACCCTTTTGAGTTGGTCAAAGGGACAGCGGCATTGTTGTGCCCCAACATTGTTTTTTGCAAGTCAATGAAGTGCATGGTGCGAGTGCACGAGTGAGTCACTCTCAATATCTGGGCTTAAGGATGCAAGTCCAGCGTTTCATTTGCTTCCGAGAAAAGCGCGTGACATTTGTCGAGGTGGCAATGCTTTGCAACGACTACCGGATGGCGTAGGCACATTGGGCAGGTAGTCTTGCGAATAGGGCCTCATGTTCATATTCTGACTCTCAGCTGCTTCCACGACGTTCTGTCCGGTTTGGGCCTTCAGGGTATGGGACAGTGACTGCTCGGAGTTGTGCCCCGGGCATTTTCAACGTGAACGTACAATTAGTCACACACTTCGAAGCTGTTGCCATCATTATTTGCTATCAAGTCTCATGTCAATCTGTGTGTGCGTAGTTGCGTAGTTGTGCGTGTGTGTCTGTGTCTGTGTGTTTGTATTTGTGTGTGTGTGTGTGTGTGTTTTGTGAGTGTGCGTGTCTTCCGTGACCTTTTCAGCTTAGCTCAAAGGACAGCCCTCAGGAAGCACGCACATTGTTGGGCTTCTTCATTTTTGTTTTAACAAGAAGGACACTTAAACCATCATACATGTTGGAACATATGTACATATATGTATACATTTATATATACCCTCTCTCCCACTAACATGGCAACTGACAGGGGCTCCCTCCAAGACGAAACATATCTTAAAGGTACCCTATGCCATCTTAGTGGGAGGAAGGGTACACGAATCATAGATCTTCCCCAGAATTAGCTCCCCTTTTTGATTTGTTGGGGTCCCTTTGTTTTCCACTCACCAGGCAAAATATATGTTTTTTGTCGGGGTCCAAATTCCAGCCAAGGGATATACAGTGGATGGACGAAATGTTGCACCACTTTGAAACCATGAGAAACCATTGTTTGTTGGTATTTACAGGGGAATCAACATTCCAGGGTTTCTTAGGTGGTGCGAGAAGCGGATTTCGTCCATCCACAGTAGGACAAGATGCCAACGTTCGCCGCCAGAACATTTGGTGACGCTGCGGAATCTGAGCTTGGCACAGAACCATCTGCTGGACTTGCCACCGCTGTGGCGGCTGCCGGGCGCTCAGGGCGAAGTTTTCCAGGGAGTTCTCACAATGTGGCCTTCCTTTTGGTAGCTCAAGGGAAACCAAGGGAAACAACAGGCTTTGGGGTTTGCAAGTTTGACAAGCGCCTTTTTTTAAACCAGCACTCAAGTTTGTTGTCTTTATCATTCCAGCTTTGCTGCAGAATTTGAAGGTCTGGAGAAACAAAACCTTTGCTTCTTTTCAGAGACCCCAGTTTGCTTTCCTTTCAAAATGGACCAAGAGAAATGCACCTGGTTGAGTGCATCCTTTTTTTCCATGGCAAGCCGGGTCCATGGCTTCAGGGAGACCCCAAAGAGGTTCTCCTTCCTTAGGGCGCCAGGGCATCGGAAAAGCTGGTCGGAAGTGGCAGGGGCTTGACTGGGGAACGGAGCGGCAGGGAGACAACAGGAACAGGGACAACTCAGACTGCCCTTGGGCCCGAAGTTTTGGGGCCGGGCTCTGAAAATGAAAGTTACATTTTCGAAAAATGCCCCAGAGGGCAGAACAGGGAACTGGGAGCAAAGCGGGAACAAAAAGTGCACCTTCAGACATGCAGCCTCCATTTGTGTGTGTGTGTGCGCGTTTTTGAGGGTACCCTTGAACCTTGTTGGATCTTTGGTGTGGTTTTAAGGGGAAACCGAAAGAACACCCATGTTTGGAGTGTGATTAGGTCCCCCAGTAGTGCCCTTTTACCCTTTTTTGGGGGAGGGTTCCCCTACTAAAATAGACTGCTGAAAAAGGGTACCCTTATTCTAACCACTCTACTGGAGGACCTAGATGACGCATGGCATCGCATACCCAATTGAATGTTCCGATTTACACCGGGTTCAGCCCTGAAGCTTCAGGCGGAAGCTGGAAATGTTGGACCTGCAGGACAACCTGGCGCTCACGTCCGTGCTGGAAAACCGGCACGGGCCTTATTGTTGGCTGGTACACAGGGTGTGACTGAATCCCCAAAGAAACCTTCTTTGGAAACAAATGGCTTTGCAATTAGAGCTACAAGAGGTTAGACCTTGGTGTGGGTCAAAATTAAACCACCAGGGGACCGCGGGTTTTAGTCCACGTTTCCACTTACCAGGGTTCCAATTTGGGCACATTTTTCTGACCCACAGCCACCTTTTGCTCAGGCGGGAAAAGGAAAAGCGACCCATCTATTTGCAGCATGCCGTCGGAAGATCAGTCGTGAACTGTACGATGAAACTTTATCGTGCCAGCACGCAGAAATGGTAACATGTCCAGGCGCAACTTCGCAATGAAGTACTTGCCACCCCATAGCTGTGGGCGGACGGAGCCTTGTAGTGAAGGAAGTGTGTGTGTGTGTGTATGTGTGTTTTGGTGCGTTTCCAAGTTACAAACAACCCAATTTGGAAAGAAATCCCATGAGTTTCTAGACATTGAGCATGAGCCACCACAGAGCAGTCAGGAATGAAGCATTGGCATTGAGAAGCCGTAGCCTTGAATGATGGTAACTCAGGATCAATAGAGCGCAGATTGATTTCATAGGGGGGGGGGTTGGGCAACCAACCCCAAAAAGGGTACCCTCAAAAAACACATACCCACTTTAGCTAGGGAACCTTTACCTTTTGCCGGGGCTGACAATACAACAAAGGGTCGGCAGCATTCTAAGCCCCAATGCTAAGTAACAGGCACGCCGAAACACGGAGACGGACAGATGCAGAGGCCTGTAGCCGCCCAGATGCACGGAGATGCACAGACACAGCGCAATGCACAGGCACCCCAAGAGACAATATTCGTAGGGCTAATGCTTGTATTCATGGTACTAGTGATCCTGATGTTGAAAACGACATACGTAATATGAACGATAGGACATGACAGTGGCAATAGTGAGTCATTTATGGACATTAGTTCCATATATGCCATTTGTGGAAAGTTCGGACATGTGTCGTGATTTGCTCCAAAACTCCAAGATATGATCAACACCAGGGCAGAAACTTGGCGCATGGTTTCCTTTTGCGCAAGCTTCTGTGCCGATCGGATCGGCGGTGTTTCAAATTCTGATTTAGAAAAAGAAGCGCGGGGAGCCATGAAAGGTGTTGGCATGTGTTGGCCCTTAATGGCCCTTCGGCGCAAATAGTCACAAATAGTCGCAGACGGACGGGGTGCAATTTGGCTCCCCCTGGCTTTGAATTGGTACCTCCTACTATGACAACTGAAAGGGCGGGTGCCCCCGAGAGGAGAATCAATTTTGAGGTACCCTCCACAAGGTGCTATGCTTGTGGTTGTCAAAGTGGACACCAGGTGGTTGGGTCCTCTTCAACAACCAGTCACCAACACAAGATCGCTCCAGATAAGGGAAGGGATCCAACAAGTGGCCGAAAAGGGTTGCGTTATCCAACAAGTTTCCAACATTGCTGTTTCATCCAAATTGTGTTGATCCTATTCTGAGAAACCCCTGACATTTCTGCCCATAGGTTCCGGCCTGCCGTCTTAGACCGTTGCTCGAGCAGCCTGGAGCCGGGACGCACAGCCGAGTTCGGATTGAGATGGGTCTGGGCGTCGTGTTTGGCTGTTGCTTGGGAAAAGCCGTTTGGTTGGTCCAGCAGGGAATATTGGTTTGCAAACCCACGATACAACCACCCACGATACAAACGTGCTGGTGCTCAGTAGGGAATGATGGAATGAACCCAGGGATTGCCACACTCCGTCTCTCGCACTCGCAGGCACATGGAGATGCCTTTCTTAAATCTACCCTTTCAAAGACAAGGCCTTCCAAGAATTCCATGTCTATTCCCTGCATCTCTCGCACTCGCAAGCAAATCGAGATGCCTGTCTCGAGTGTACCCGTTGGGTCAGACTGGCCTCATTATGATTTCTTTATCAAATTTACCCCTAAAGTGATGGGTTGAAGGAAACAACCCCCAGTTTCTGACTTTGATAACCCCAGAATCAAAATCATGACCCCCGTCAAAGAGAAGGCCTTCCCAGACCTCCAGCCGTGGACCGTCGCCTGGCCCTCGGGCTTCCGCTAGGCTGGCGGCGCTGCTGAAGTTCGGCGCCTTGCGCGACCTGCGGCTCGGAACGGTTGATGTGCGGATCCCATGGACAGCACCTGGGGGGTTGAGAGGGGGGAGGTGGAGGTCATGGGGGTTGATCAATATTCCGAAAACCAAAGGACCATGGTAACATTTTCCCCTTTTGCTGAGAAATCCCACGTCTTTAGTGTTTTTCCCCAATGGTCATCCCGTGTTTTTGGACCTTTGGATCCAGCCCCGCATCTCGGATGCGGTTTGGGCAAATCTGTTCACAAGCTCAGAGAGTTTTGCGAGCGATTGGCCCACGCAGGTCCTTTACCGCGGCTTTTCCAAGGAATTTCTCAGATAGGGTGACAGGGCCAGATGGTGGCAACGGTTCTGCTGCATCTGACGGCAGGTTTGCTCTTGGGCCCTTTCGAACTACGCTTTGTGTTGTTCATGTTGCAATCCCTTCCTTGGGTTTGGTTGGGACTGGGTGGGTGGTGGGGTTTTCTTAGCAAACTCCAAGCCAGTCAAAGTCAAGATTGCCCTGAGTATTGCGTCCTCAAATCTCGCTCTTTTTGAACAATTTGCCCGGCGTGCTGAGTCGAAGCCAGAGTTGCTGAAGATGCTGGAAACCGACGAGCCGCCAGCTTAGAGTATAGATTGGCAGGGGCTTGCTTGAAAACAAAGATGCGTTTGGGGGAACCAGATTCTCTTGGGGACGCATTGATTGACTACACAAGTGGGACGAATTACGGACATAGTCGTCGCATAATTTGCAATGCATCACTGCAATGGTCCAAAGACTCCTTCTGTGGGGTTAACAGGGATGGTCATGCACCTGGTAGCAAGGATCCTTAATAGCCATGATAATGATCCTGTTAAGGGAACTACTGTGGATGGATGAAATCCTGCACGACCTAAGAAAGCCTGGAATGATTATTCCGCTGGAAATGGCTTGCATGATTGCAGAATGTGAGCTCTTTGCCCGCAGCTAGACGGTGATGCGAGTGGACAGCCCATTAGATTTGTGCAAGCCAAAGCAGATTGCTGTTGGCGAGTTGTCAAGAAACACTTTTTCATTGGGTTCCACTCTTCCCTTTTTGATTCTGTGACATCCCCTTTAAACATGGTGAAGCCTCTTGAGAAGCCCCCCCCATGTTCTTTTCTACCTGGGTCACAGAACAACTATGGAAAGCACGAGAGGTGGGCCTAGAGCACAGTACGCGTCATACTGCCGAGAATTCGGCATGTCTTTTTGCAAATTTCTTGGATGTTGGGAAGCTGTTGCTGGGAGGAAATGTGAATACTCTAGGGGTTTTTGGTGGTTTTCTAGAAAGAAGGATCCCTAGAAAGAATGGAAATGGAAGCTACCCCTAGAGGAACTGGAGATTTTCACCTCTGGCTCTATGCAGGACACCCTGCAACCTTCGACCCGGGCTCCACAAGCGCAAACCCGCCGTAGCGACCGGGCTTCGGCCCGAGGCTTGCGGGATAAAAACGCGGCGGCCTTGCCGTCCAGAGCGTTGGAACCAAGAGCTCCACTTTGCCAAAACCGCAGCTGCAAGCCTCCCATCTCTTGGTTGCTCCCAGGCATCCGGTTCCTTTGCCTTTCAGCCTCTTAGTGTTTAGTGGTTGGGTTTCCATTCAAGCCACTCAAAGTTAGTCTCTTTATGCACTGGATCTGAGCTGAGCCCAGCAAAGATCTCTGTGTCATGCCGAAGCTTCAAGCCTCCCATCTGCTTGCCTTTGAGGGCATTCAGGTCGATACGAGTCCTCGCCCGCGATCAGGTTGGATCTTTGCAGCATGCAGCTGCGATGGATACCGCCAGGTCTGTGGCTCAGGTACTCCAGTGCCTGAGGCTAGAACACATGCCAGATGCTTCCGTTTGCGGATTTGTTATATGTTTTGGGTTTACTGGTATTTTCCCTTTTTAACGGGAAACTATCACTACTGGAAACATGTTGTTTCTTCTTCTTCTTCTTCTTTTTTCCTGGGGGCGAGAAAGCAAATGTAATGACAGTTTGTCTACAAGATGTGACAATGAGAAGTGGGCTTCAACCATCAGCTATATAAAGAATTTGTCTTTCGGATGCCGCAAGTGTTGACTCCAACACGGGCGCATTGGAGAGCAGCCTTTTTGTCAGCCTGAGACTGAGTTATCGGTTGCGGCTGCATTTGTGGATTGGTAGTCTGCTGTAAGTTGGAGTGGACAACCCTAATTTCCTTAAACAGGGCCCACTGCATTTTCCCCAAGCTTCTCGGCGCAGCCAGTTTTGTCTTGCGTCTCAGATATTGCCAAAGCAACTGACCCTATCCAGTTGTTCCATGTCCACGTGTCCACTGAACGAAGAACACGGTCGCTGAAGGCTCCGCAAATGCTTGGTCTAACAATGGTCTTTAAACTGGATCGTGGCTGTCGTCTTCAAGGGGCACCAACGGGAAGTGCCTTACAGATTTGGTGGTTGAACTGGGTTCCTTAAAGGATGCATCCACAAGGCACGTGCGTTATAGGGATCCCAAAATCAGCTTCTAAAACTGTGTGTGTGTGTGTTCTTTAATGTCCCAAATACATCCTAAGGACCGTGCTTATTCATTTGTAGGTGGCTGCAAAAACGAAGAGCTCCTTCTCACGCGAGGGAACTCCGTGTTTTGCAGCCCTCCCCTCCCCTCTCCCCCCCTCCCCTCTCCCTCTCCCTCTCCCTCTTTCCTCCCTCAAGGATCGGGTTCGCTCGCCCCACGCCCTCTTTCGGTCGGGTTCACTTCGCTCGCCCCGCGCCCCACAGCCCCACGGGCAATCGATTCATCCCGAGACCTCGGCGGCCTGAAGCTGCTGAAGCTGAAGGCACGGCAGAACCAGCTCCAGGCGCCGCAGCCAGCGAAGCTTGCGCGCGCGGAGCGTTGGAGGAGAGAAGTTGGGAGGGACACGATTCATTTTGCCGAAACGAAGACTTTTTTTTAAAAAAAAAAATACACAAACTGTTAACTTGGTTTTGAGAGAGAGTTCTCCTTCCACTTGCTGAAATGAAGATTGCTTATTTTCCCCTCCTAACAGGCTTGCCCGAGTAGTCAATGATAATTACCTCTGGGGATATGCAAAACCCAGAATTCAACTACAAAGAATAGATGATGAATGTAGCGATGTTCAGGGAGTGTATTCGGTACAGCTTTTGAGCTTGGCACTGGTGTGTCTTCAACAGGTTGACCCGCAGAATATGTCGTGTCTCCATTGTTTTTTCTTCTACCAGCCCAACGGGCACCCTGCTGCTTTTGAGGCAGAGGTGTTAGGTTCCCAAATGCATAGACCACCAGTTGCGTTTATCGATTACTTGTCTGACCCAAACCCCGCTACGATTTGAGGTATATTTGTTTCCATACCAAGGGCCCCTATTCAAGGAACTCAACAGCTAGGACTGGTGTATACGCTCCAAATGGTGGCTCGAAGGGAATGTCCCCAGCAATTTCGAGAACAAGTCCCTCCAATTGCAGCGTCCGAATGTGGGAGGCTAGCCTCATGATTTTACCATGACAGTCACCTCCAAAGTCTTAGGTTAAGGGAACCGTTGCTGACTTTGAAAACCCTGGAAAGGGTCAAAATGAGGACCCTGCTCAAAGGGGCAGGGTACTTTTTTGAGTGGGTAACAGCCATGGCTGTAACTTATGACCCACAAAAGCCACCAGCATACGTCTCCTTCCCGCGGGAGATAACCAAGTTTACTACCCACTTACCTTGGTGGCTCCCAGCCATCCCCTTAAGCCTTTTAGCTGTTTAGTATTTAGTAGCTGGATTTCCATTTAACCCACAAATTTTCAACTTTTGGCACTGGATCTGAGGACAGCCCAGTTCCCCGTGCCGAAGCCATCGCCCCGTTCAGCCGCGTCAAGCCGCGGCCAGGCCCTTTCCGCGAAGCTCTGCCGGTTCCAGCGGCTGCCTGCGCCCCAGAGCCCCAGAGACTCGGAGAGCGGGGAATGATAGGCGATGATCCTACAAAATGCCGACCTTCCCCTATGGTTTCCTCTAAAAAGACATTCGGGTACTACCATCCCCTATGGTTTCCTTTAAGGGGACCAAAAGCCTGGATTCATTCCCTCATTCCCTGAGCACCAGCAGGAAAATGCGCTTCCGAAGGCTTGGCGATTCGATCTTTTTTTTAGGTCTTGGACAACCCCGGGGCTTGCAAGACTCTTTCGATTTACCCCCAAGCATCCCTTGAACTCACTTGAGTCACAGGTTCCCAATTTCCGCCGGACAAGCAGTTTCATTGGAACCCACCGGTGTTGATCAAATTCAGGAGATCCCGTGCCGCCTGACATGCCTGGAATTGAACCCCTGCTTTCACCTGGCAGCGGCATTCCAATTTGCCGGCATTTCTTCAATCCGGAAGCCACTTCAAGATTCACAATGGCATCAGTTGAGCCGCTGAGCTGGTAGGCATGACTCAATTTGCTTCTCTTCTTAGTCGTGCGAACTTGTTGCCGTCTCACTTGCTTTACGTCAAACCTACCTGCATTCAATTGTTGTTCATGGTTTGTTGTTTGTCCATTTCGGACGTATGTATAAATATAACTCCACGATGGTGCACCACCATGCAGGTACAACAAGAAGGTCCTCCCCAAAACGAGACCCTTCATCGGATGATGAAAGCTAGTTGATGACAACTTTGCTTGGACAGGGTTGTGTATTTGACGGACGTTTCCTTGGGCCTAGTTGAAAGGCGACGCAATCTGTGCGTCAGCATGAAACTTGAGCAGTGCTCACACAACATCAGCAACCTCTCGCTAGACACGACAGGTGAACCATGCCGCTTGCTTCCCCTCAAGCTGTGTCCCATTGAAAGTCACGCATCTCAAAGGCGGCGGGGGCTGAGAGGCCACTTGGTTTGGTGTGAGTGATTAGGAACTTGATATAGAAAAGCGAGAAAGTCTAAACCTGTAGTCCAAAAGATGATGTAGTTTCCATGAATTTTGTATTCCTGCGTGTTCTCCGGAATCATTGGTGAGACAGCTTCTTTTCCTGAGGCAAGTCTTGGACCTCTACAGCAACCAGCTTACAGGCCCCTCCTGTTTTGCTTGTTGCTTGTCATTGGTCCCCCGTTGACCTTTTGGACCGCGATTTACTTTCTAGGTCCCCCAGTAGTGCCCTTTTATCCTTTTTTGGGGAAGGGTTCCAATACTAAAAAACAACTACAGAAAAAAGGGTACCCTTATTCTAACCTCTCTACTGGAGAACCTAGGCTTTCTTGATGCCTAGTGGCACCCTGTTTGGGCGCCAGGCATCTCTTTGGTTTCCAGTGGGCGAAACTGACTCCCCAGCAAGAACATCCAACTTGCAGGGCCTGCGCTTGAGACACCAGTCGCCCAATTGCCGATGGACCATGGCCGCCCCTGCCATATGAGTTGCTCACAATATGATTGGTAGTCCGCTCTTCTTTGCAGGACATGGGAGAACTCCAAGCAACTTTGTCCATTCGAAGGGTGACCATGTGTGATACCCTGCCGGAGTCATATAGTTAGGTGCAATACCTGACAGAGCCAGGTGGTTCCATTCGTGGCACATATAGTTGGCACAACTGTGGTTTCAGACATCGATTCCGGGTGCGATAGACATAACTTCCGAATGAAGATCAAGAGCCTGACCATCTCCGTAGCAAGACTCAGAATCATGACATGTGTGCTCGGGCTCCTGCGGAAAGCGATAGGTGTGTGCGGGGCGGACGGGAAGTCGCGGTATGTTTCTTGATGAGAACTTTGAAACACTCCGCGAATATTGCATAGGACTGCGCTTGATGCTGAGCGAGTCTTGCGGTAATTGCATTTCATGTGCAATGCTGTGTGAGCAAATGTGAACTATATCTAAAACAACATCGCCACGGGGAGAGGACGACATGAAGAAACTTCCGCGCCTCAGACATGAAGTCCCGGTTGATTCACATACTGCTGGACAACATGTGGGCAACCCCCCCAAAAAAAACATCGACGTTGTGTTTGAAGCAAGGGGCAGGAGTTGGCAAGGCAAATTTACCGAAGACAGACGTGTCGGACGGCATGCATCGCCGCTGATTTTGGCGTTGTGTCGGAAGGTCTACCAGCAGAGATTGGCAATCTGAAGTCCCTCACTGAGCGCCTACCTCAGTCTTGCTTCCATGGCATCGGGCAGCGATGCGCCGACTTGTTGCTTGGCCTAGGTGACACATAGACACTGCGTTGCTTTCCAGATTCCACGGGCCCCGGGGCGTGTGCAACCAGGAAGCCATCTTTCCAGGGGAAATGTATTTTCCCTCTTACACCTGCTATGTGCATTCATTCCAAAAGGAAGCCATCCTGAAGCTGGGCCCTTAAATTGAAATGATGTGGGGGTTTCGTCTAAAAACAAAGCATTTGGAGGATCAACTTGAGGACGTCACTTCAACTGATCTGGACCTTGCCGTTCAGCTGCAGTGAACCTATACCGGGGGGACTGAACTTCTAATGGGGGTACCCTTTGACGTGAAACCCAAAGAACATCACCTAATTTTATGGTGTCGCTTACTTGGAGACACCCATATTTTACCGCAATTCAGGGATGATTTTTGTGTTTACCTTGTGTTGTCAAGAACGCTAATCTGCATGAACATATCCTTTTATTCGGGAGGGCAACATTGCAGGCTGTGACGGAGACAAAGGACCTAGGGAACCGTGCGGTGATGCAGCTTTGGAGCGTTGAGATTCAACAGGCGTTTGAGCGAATTCAGGTTTCATTCGCAAAGCTGCAGATGTTGAACATTGCAGACCCAAGGCTGTGTTGCATGTCGTAATTGCAAAAAAAAAAGGAACAGACAGCTGTTCGACGCAGGTTTGTCCCAAAACACTTTCAGGGGAGTCAACCATACAACGACCCGGTACTGTCCAAAATCAGACCATTCATGCCCGACACTTAGGGCGTAAACCACGCCAAAATTGGGGTTGACTTTGTGCGATAGGCTCTGGGCAAGTCTCAGAAGCAATGTTGGTGCACATGCGGTTGTGAGCCAAATCTAGACTCCAGCAGGGATGCCCCCTCACGGAAATTGATTTGTTTGCCTTGCTGCTGGAAGTAGCTAAAAGCGCATGGCCCAGCGCATAGCCCTTTTTCGGGTTGCAACCATGGCAGGTAGTGGGCTTAGTCCCCTTACCGTGGCTAGAATCTACGTGGGTCTAACATCCGCCAGTACACCTCACGGTTTGATCGAGGTTGGATGTGTCGAGCAACCTCCTCCTAGAGCTGCCTCCCAGCACGCTGCTCAGAGCCATCGCGAATCGGACTTGGAACGCGAATTTCACAGGTTCCGTCACCGTTGGTATTGATCTCGTCCAAGGTATTCTGGGTCCATTCGGGAAGGATACATGGTTGTGGGGGCAGGGTACTTTCCGCGCCACCCAGGGAATCCTTGTTTGAAGTGACACAGTAGTCATGAAGATGGCCGACTTTGGTATCACAGAAAGGTGAGGTTGCACAATGAAACTTAAAATTTGAACCACAAACATCAGGGACTCTCTAATTTAATTAGGTCCATACAGAGAAGCAGTTTGGCTGTGGCACACATGTGTGAGATTGAATCTTACGTGTGCCATGGTGAAAAAACTTGTTTAATTGCTTGGTTGCTAGGGATGGTCGGGATGGTCATCACCCCCTTCGAAGGGAATTTAGTTTGTCACGAATTGCGACTACTATATAGAACCAGTTGGAGGGTGCAGACATTGCAACGGATTTGACTGCTGCTTAGTTGTTCAGGCTGAGCGGTGACCCTGATCATTTGTATATGTTGAGCTGCGGGCTCAACTGCCTCGATGAGTTGGCAATCGCATCTTTCCCAAGCTTCAGTGAAGAGGCTTTTGGCTGATGAGCCTGCGCGCTCAAAGTAAGTGCACGCTAGTCTGCGCTTCCACAGTTCCAAGAAGCTTCGTTTGAAGCGTTTTTTGGGACAGCGGTACCAAAGTGAAGCGTGCGGCTTCTTGGCAACTCGTCGAGCCCTGCTGGGAGCGCCTGCCGGCCGGTCGTCCCAACGGATGCTTTTGGTCGCCTTAGAATCGGATGCCCGAATGCCCGACACAGCAAGAATCGCGTGCCGTTTGGGCGGGGGCGAGCTGTTGCCATGTGGCTGTGGGTCAAAACCAATGACCACCCATTTTAGTCTATTTTTCACTGGGGGTACGGGATTTTGACCCATGGCCATGTAAGAGGCTGTGTCGCGTTTGCAACGAGACGACTCAAACTCACACCACTTTGGCTCCATCTCGCAGCGAGGGCACTCCCGGTCCGGCAATTGCAGGGTTTCTCAAATGGCGGATACCTGTTATGAGCCAAACCAACGCATTTCAGGGCTACCCCTATTTTGAGGCGATCCCATCTATTTTCCTGCTTCAGCCGGTCTTTTTTGATTAAATGTCTGAACCAGCTCTCAGGTCTCGGGGATCTCAGCTGCCTGGTGAGGCGAGAGGGCTGAGGGGCTGTCCTCTTTGACCTTTGCCACTTTCAGCGTCAAGACCTTGGAATTTCCCATCATTCCTCGCCGGTTGCAGCCACGAACTTGCGCCCCTGCACGTCGAGCCAAGCAATGAAGTAGATTGAACACATACTTAGATAAGCATGCCAACGGCGTGTTTGGCGAGGAGCTTTTGCAGTGAAGCAGCTACCCTCTATAGAGGCCATGCTGCCGGTGAACAACACATTCAACACCTTGAACTTACGCAGGGATGTTTAACTGATACCATTTAGCCGTTCGAAAGTTTGCCTATGGAGGATTGCAAACGCGGTGAAGGGGCAACGTGGGGACCTAAGGACTGGGGGCGCAATTCGGCTGGGCCGAATTGCATCGGGACTGAGTCTGGGGGCCAGGCAAGGTTGTGGGGGAACTCGGGGGCTGACTTCAGGACAGCTGGAGCACGCTCTTCCGGGCCTGAACAGAACCTAATAAACGAATCAGCGTGCGGCCTTTGGCTTTGATCGCTCGTCCAGGCACGACTTGGGCGTTGATAATGTCTGATATGTTGCACCGGGGAAGCACGAGTACCTACTGCAAAGGGCACATGCCATGCCATGTTTGCCGTTGTCCGCCAACCTGGACGATCGGAGCGTCTTCAAAGACTAAGTACTGTACTGGCTCCATTGGAAAGAGGGCGCATTGTCGAACCACTGGCTGGCTATGAGCGTGTCTGAGTCTCTAGTTGCGCCCAAGCAAGCGCAAAGGGACCTTTCATTCGTTGGGAACTTGCTGCCTTGGGTTGGGGCAACTTGCTTGACTCGCCAGGCTGGAAGCTGGGAAGAACAAGCTGCAGAGACCTCAGGCAGCGGTTGACACTTGAGCCCATGCTGTCAGCACAGGATAACCGGAAGCAGGTGTCATACGTACGGTTACATGTTACATGTATAAATCTGGGTATTGGTTGATCATTCATCTAGCGTTGGTTCAGCCAATCTTAGCATGCTATCAACTTGGTCTGGGGGGTCCTGTTAGCCTACGAACTTGTAGTTTTCATGTATCTGGGTTGGTACGGATGCCTTGATGCAATCCCACACATTCAGAAGTGCCGAGAGCCTTCAGAAGCCTAGGTCGGACTTGCCCAGCAGCTTGACCAAGCTGTCCTGCTTGTCCACCTTGGGGCTGAGGTCCGGGATGAGCCCACACCCAGAATTGATGCAGGAGCAGCACAGTCAAAGCTGACAGGGAAAGTATGCTAAGGACTTTTAATTGTTGAGACCTTGTTGTGTAATAATTTTAATACTTGTGTTAAAACTCTGGCGGGATTGAGAAACAAGAAGCCGTTGTTGCGCGCAGCGTTGCAGCACTTTATCTCGCATACAGCTGTAGCTCACGCCTTGACCTGTGCCAGAAGGCGGCTCAGCAACTTTCAGATAGGATATTTTGTGTGTGAGCCTGTCTGGAAAGGTTCCCTTCTGAGTCCAAAATCGTATTTACTGTCAATTGTTGTTGAGGGGTATCTGGGCTGAACATACAAGTACTTCCGGCTTTGTTCCGGTTTTGCACCAATGTGCCTGTGTCTCTTTCCGCATGTTTCAGAAAGAGACGACACTGTGATAGCACTGCGCCAGTTTGAGAACATGCCAGTGATTGCTGTGTGGAAGCGGCTTTGTCCATTGATCATTGTTCCGTGAGCATGTCCCCACTTTGCAAGTAATATATATATATATATATCCAAGGTTACCAAATTCAAGGGACAAACCCCAGAAACCCCAATTACAACTATGCGTCCTATGCTTGTTTGGGTGTTTCTCAAAATAGGAAGTCCTCAAATATGAACGGTGGCCTTTTGATTTCCCTTTAGCATCGTGAAAAGGGGGATCCTCTATTTGGGCGTGTGGTTTTTGTTATAGTGTACCCGCAAAATGGGCGTTTTCTTTTTGGATTCTCGAGACCCCCAGACCTTACAGGTCGTGAGTCTTTGGGGTTAGGCCCTTTCTGTTGTATCACAGTGGTCATTTCAACCACAGCCCCGCTTAAAAGCTTGCAGGGAATGAGGGAATGACCCTTACAAACCCTCCAACTGGTGGTTTCCTTTCAGGGGACCAAAGCAACTGGGTCCATTCCCATACTCCCTACCTATCGCCCCAGCAAGAAAATGGATTCCTACTCTCAGTTATTCCTTAATTTCAGTTGTTCAGTGGCACCCTGTTCCCCCTGTTTTTTGGTGGCTGCCCGACTAAAAAGGGTCTTCCCCAAAAAGGCTTCCCTTTTTTTCCCAGGATCACTGAACAACTGACTCCAGGGGTCGGGGTCGGGGTCCCCATGGCCAGGCTGAATCCGCTTGAAACTCTGCCGGAGAAGCTGGACGAGCTGCAAGCCTTGAAGGTCTTGGACCTCGGTGCGGCAGCCCAGCGCCGTGTCGAAAGCAAAGCCGCCCCTGCCAAAATGGCCCAAGTACCCAGCGAGGACCCTTTCGCTGAAAAGAAGATGTGTTTTATCTGTGTTTTGTGTTGTTTTGTTTTGTTTTCAAGTTGCTTGTTTTTCTCTGGTTTTAAGGGGAACACGTTTCACTACTGGACCAATATGTCTATCTGTTTTTTCCCGGAAAGGCTTAGGCAGTTGGAAGCCTGGACCGCGCCTGGGGAGCAGAATCATAGTTGTCCTTTGTGGTTCGTTTGCTTAAAAGATAGAGGGCCCCGGTTTAGATTTATCAGGGCCATCTGTTTTTCCAAAAGGCAACCTATGCTCAGAAGGTTATTTTTATATGCTGGCTCGTCTTTTTTTTGGGGGACCCTCCTTAGCCGTGGTGGGGCTCGGCTCAGGCAGCACCCCCTTGGGCAAATCGCTGCAGCTGCCACAGCAACTTGGAGAGGGGGCCGATGTCTCCGAGAGTTGGGCAAAGTTTAAACAGCCAGCCTGTGATCCGCTTGAAACGGGACTCACAGGGAAACAGAAAGTAGCGACTTTTGCTGAAACATGTTCAATCCAGAGTTGGCCCGAGCTTGGTTTCCAGACCAAGTTTGGAGGGAACCGCTGAAGTCAGGCGAATTCAGCGAGACCCTGAACAGAGTCTCTTGTTGATGGACAGCCACCGTGTGTTGCTACTTCTTGTCAGCTGAGTTGTCCTCAGCTTTAGCGACAGCTCCAGAAAATGCAGCCTTCACTGTTGCTTCAAAGCACAAGTTCAGAAAGAATTGGCGCGCTGACCCGAGGATGGCCTACTTTTGGTATAGACAGGGCTATTTTTCCCACAACCACGCTAGGCACTCTTCCAAATGATGGGTTCCCTTTTTCCGTTCCCCTTCCAAATCCCGAACGGTATGATTTGGCATTGACAAATCCTCTTTGAGATGGCAAACACCGCAAGTCCAGGGGTACCTTCCCCATTCTTTACAGGGATCCTTCTTTCTAGAAAACCTTCGGAAACCCAGGGAAAACGGCTTCTTCTTTTTTGAAAAGAACAATGGTTGAAAATAATGGGGAGTCAACCCCTAGAACAAGGTCACGGACATCTAGTCATTAAGCTTTGGACTCTGACCCCATCACAGGTGCAAAACAAAACAGTCGGCACAGACGTGCCGCCGTGGAAACAAAGCGTTGTCCTGTCATCGGTGCCCCGAATCGAGTGCTCAGCCCAGGCAGGGTCACTGCCCAGTGCGCCGCAGGCGATGACGGGTATCTTATCTCCCCCCCTAAAAGGATACTTCCCTTTTTTGGGAAGCGATTTGATCAATGATCTGGGCAACCATTATACATGTAATGCTTTGTTCAATTGATCTGACAGACCTCTTGAACAAAAGGGCCTTGCCACACCAAGCTCCGGGCAGTTTCTTCTTTCAAGCCACCGAATACAACTTTGCCCGAAGGCTGAACAATCCCACGTTCCTCAAGTCCTTTATTCCCCTACATGCCTCAACCATTCTGCAGGTTGTACCTCATGCACAAGTATGACGCTTTGCGCAGCATCAAGCTGTGCCGCTCCCAGCAGGGGCCCTAGAAAAACAAAACCGTGCTAGAGGTGCGTCCAGAGCGCGACACGAGCCTCCAGAGCCCAAATTGAGAATAAGAGCCTGAGGTAAGACCATGGCTCTGTTGAATTGAAATCAATGGCATGTTCCGAAACTTTTCCCACGGGTCCCCTTGTGGCGACTGTTTCCTTGTGGCTCCCCTATCAACGGCCATTCAAGATATACTCTAGTAAAGAGCGTTCATGGCTGTGATGTGGGGATGTTCTACAATTGGTGGCATTCTTTTGGATGGCGCTCGCAGGGAAACCAAAGCATGTTGCAGGACTCACTTCTCTCGATAATCAGGCCGAGCAGTTTGCCCGAAGACTTTGATGCCTGGGGACGAGGCAGGAAAAGTGCGCAAGGCCAAGGTGGGCCGCCCCCTTATTTGTTTTTTCCCAATAGATTGCTAGGAGAAAAGTCTCATCTCGAGGTGCCTGGATTTGAGGCAGTTGGTTGCGGCTTGTGCAAATCCTGAACGCTGGTGTCGGTCGGCATGCTTCGGATGCAGCACAGAGTGGAGTCGAGTGCACTGCAGCTTGCCCTTGGGGAGTAGCTACGTCAAATGCTTCTGCCAATGTGCTCACTCCCTGAGTTCCTCGACTGAAACAAGTTGTTGATTTCCTGGACTTGAGGCTTGGCCAATCAACTCAGGAACTGTATTTTTGCGTGTGTTTTTTTGTTTGGTGGGGGGGGGGGGGGGCGAGTCCCTATTGTAAGACATACCTCCAACGCTTCCGCGACAGGCCCGCCGCCAAAGCCGCCCCCTGCTTCAGCCTGGGCCCCGGGCCCCGCTGGCCCCAGAGTGCTCCGAACCGCTCAGCCATGCCCAAAATGCCTTCGCCTGGGCAACAAAAACAGGTATGGGTCAAAATGAAGCCACGGGGCCGCAGGTGTTGGTCCATGTTTCCATTCAGGGCAACCCATATGCTGCCCTTTTTTTGACCAGCCAAATCAGCTGATGGATGAACATCAAATGCACTTCGGGACTTGTGAGACGTCGCTTTTGTTTGAGGGCTTGGTTCTGACCTGCACTTGTCAGAACCCATTGGTCACGTTTCCCTGTAGAGGCTTGGCATGTCGATCGAATTGCGGGCGCCTCAAGCATCAGGTGCGGGCGAAATGCGCGGAGAAGGCCGTGGCTTGGGTTCTTTTGAGAGGCTTCAGCCCAAGAGGTCTTAGCAATGCGGGGGAAAGAGGAGATGCGGAGGTTTGTCCGGGAACAACGTGAGGAAGACTTTGTTTGGGCGTGCAGGGGAAATTTTGGGGACCGAAAAAGCCCAGATTCGAAGGGAGCGTCCAGCTGCGTGAAACTGCGTCAAATTTTCCACTGCCAGCTTATGATCACCTCTGGGAAGGTCCCTATTGAACTGGCTTGAGTCTGGTTCTCTCAGGTGGAAACGCCCCGACCTCCGTTGAAAGGGATCCTATGCACTTCTGTGTTTGTTTGTGGGAAGGGCAAGGGAAGGGCAAGGGAACGAGAGAGAGAGAGAGAGAGAGAGAGAGCGAGAGAGAGAGAGAGAGCGAGAGAGAGAGAGAGAGAGAGCGAGAGAGATATACCAAGGTTACAGTCCAAACGTGAAAATATCAATGGTTCAAGTGGGGTTGACTACAGATGAGGGAGCCATTGATCCCATTTGCAGGATTCCGCAGGCTATCACCGGTTCTTTGGCAGCGGATACGGTGATGAGGACGAGCCAGGGATGATGGGGGGTAACATAGTTGCTTGCAATTGATTTCAACTCGGTGAGGGAGTGGTCAATACCCACGTTAGTGGCTGGGGTAGCTGGGCTTGGCTCTCTTATGAGCATCAACTCTGTCAGCAGATGCTTGCCATGATTACAAGAGAACTAACCCCCCATTCACCCCAATTGTTTTCCTTGGTTAGTAGGTACTAGGCATGATTACAAGAGAACTAACCCCATTCACCCCAATTGTTGTCCTTGGTTAGTAGGTACTAGCCATAATTACAAGAACTAACCCCATGCACCCCAATTATAACCCTGATCACAACCTGGCAGAGAGGGTTGAACAGCCAAGAACCCAAGAACCCGGCCCTGCAGTTCAAGTTTGCCAAGTGGCATTTTCTTTTGACCTCGCGCCAAACACTTTCTGGGAGCATCCGTTAGGACATGCCCTGCTTCGCCAGCCGACGCTCTGCGGTGGAAGAGGCAGTTTCCATGTGCAGGGTGTCAGTCAGAATTTGGAGAAGCGAAAGCGCGTTCTTACCAGGATTCCATTTTCTAGGTACCCCATCGACTTAAATCCATAAGCAACCACCCCCATAGGCAAAGCCCTGAGTTTAAGTCTACCTTGGCGGCAGCAAGAAATGTAATCCTGGCTGCCCCACGTGCCTGGAGATGCAGCATGCGTACCAAAAGGTCAACTAAATTGATTGCCACCCCAAATCAGCTGCCGTGCAAGCCAATCCCAGCCACCCAAAAATCGGGGCTGTCCATTGGGATTGCCTAGCGCGCTCCCCGCCCCAAGCAGTCCAAGTGCCGAGCCCCTCAGACCAGTTCCTGTGAAGAAAACAGCCAGGCACACATCTAGGGTGGTTTGCGAGCCCCACCTTCGGCTCTTCTTCCTTCATGCAAAGGCAGAAGCTTCCACCGGCACAGATCATCACTCCCATCGTATTTTCTTCTTTGTTTGGGTCCCCAAGAATGATCGACTCACAAAAGAGCTTTGTTTCTTAAGCCAACGAGATTGAGAGACCACGCGAATTCTCGCGCAGGCGGGAGACAACATGCATCTCCGGAAGGTGGGCTTGATGGGTGTGTCTTTTTTCAGGGGACCCAAAGTTGGTGGTTTCTCTCTTGGTGTCCCTTCAAAACCAACCAAAAAGCGGTTCCCCGATATGGTTATGATTTTTTATAGGGACCCCCTGAAAAGTGGTTGGTGGACCTAAATCCCGACCTAAAAAACGTCCAGTTCTTTGCTGGCCTTCAAGCCTCATAAGTTGAGAAGCTGAGCGAAGAAGTTCTCACGCCAGGTGCTCCTCGACATCGAAGCGCAGTAGCATCCTCAGCGTTTGGCAAATTGGCCATTCGCCTTTGATGTCAAGTTGGTGGCTGGTGGCTCTCAGCCATCCCCTTACGTAGCTGTTTTTCTTTTTTTACTTTTTAGTGTTTAGTGGTAGTTTCCATTTCCCCGGAGAGGGCAGCCCAGTACTGAGACAAAAGCAAAACAAGAAGAATCCTAGGATTCGGAGAGACATTCCTATGGCCAGGATTCGCCGTGTGATCCCAGGAAGGCGCGTTTTGATGGCACTGGCCCATGGTTTCGTTCAGATTTTCTGGGGGGCATCTCAGGTTGGAGGCAGCTGCAAGCCGCCAGAAGCTCTTCAGGACATCTCTTGTGTGAGAGTCAGGCCCTGGGATTCCATTCGGGTTCTATAAAGCAAGGGCTTGCACCACGGAGCAACCATGTCTATGGCATCCTTGAACCCATTTGTATCGAACGACCCCCCAAACTAAGCAGGGGGGGGGGGGGCACCGGTGCGATTGAGAGTCGCTACTCAGTGGTCAGTTGCATTCGCATCCCTTGCCCAAGCAAAAGCATGCTGAAGTTGCGACTTGAGCAGCCTGGAAAGAAAAGATTCGCAGGCGTTGTTGTTCTCAAACCCAGCATTGTGGCGGCTTCTCAAAGCGCTGGGTGACCCCCCACCATGTCCTTTGCGAAAAGGAGCTGACGCTTCTCCCATTCGATGCGGAGGGCGCGTGGTTTCATGTGGGGCTTGGTCAATCATTCCGGCAGTCTATGGACGTGTTCTTTTGGAATTCACTTCCACAAGAAAAACAGACTAGCTAACCACGAAAAGGAGACTCGCCGTTTTGTGCATGTCCTTTGGAGGACGTCATTTTGACCATTGCAGGACACTGTGCCGACAATGGCACCCGGACAAGCGCAGGGATGACCCCGAGTTGGCCACGCGAGTGCCTGAACCTGAGCTGTGAGCTGCTACGACTGGTTTCCCCGCGCGTTTGCGAACCAACCACCAAAGTATATGATGTTATCTAAGTTGATATACGTCGCGACAAAGCACAAATCTAGTGGTATTCTTTCCAGGGATCCTTCTTTTCAGGAAACCATCAAAACATCAGGGGAAACGGCCGGTTTTTGAAAAGAACGATGGTTGAAAAGAATGGGGAAGCAACCCCTAGAACAAAGTTCCCTTTGTTCCTCTTGCAAGATTTAGGGAAAACGCACTTGCGGTGGGACCAACACGTCGGCACCATGCTTTTGACCGCGGAAGGCTCTGTTGAAAGAACGTGGCTTTCTCGTGTACCACTGGGAATGAAGGAATGTCAAGCTTAACGAAAAACAACTTGGAGTTTTTCTTTTTATAAGGATTTGTTTTCATGTTGTTGTTTTTTTGTGTGTGTCTGCGTTTGGGTTCTTGGTGGCTTTTCGGCTTCTTGTTGGTTTATGCGGCTGTTGGTGGTTTTTTTGGTCAGCATCACCAGTTCCTCTCCGGCAAGTGTTCTTTATATTTATGTCTATGTATGTATGCATGTGTGTATGTAATCTATGTAATCTATGTATGCATGTTTGCATGTATGCACTTCCCCCCGCTGCTATTTATATTATTTGCATAGATTAACGGACCCTTTCTCCCCCCCAACCCCCCGCTACTTTTACTTGATTAACAGAGATTGAAACGCACCCCTATTGTTGAAATCATCACTTTTTCGACCATCATGGCGGGGGCTGCCGCACCCCCCCCAACCCACCTGCTACTTTTTAACCTGCATGCAATGTAGGAAGGCAAGGCAATAGAGAGCCCAACAATTTGCTGGTGATGCTGGGGATGTTGGCGGGACATGTGGGGGATGTTGAAAGCGATGCTGGAGGTGTTGACGGGCAACAGTGCAAAATACGTACATTGCGTGAGAAACTGCTGTAAAATACGACATTTTACTGCCAAGACCAAAGCAAAAAACAAAGAACAACAACAACAGCAAAATCGAAAACACTTCCCAAAATAATTCCGCACCCAAACAATTTGCCGAGATCCCTGAGTCGGGTTCCATACTAGTATGGGTATATAGCAAAGAAGAGCCATGCATCCGGTGACAACGAAGCGCAAGCCACGCGACTGAGGTTTCAGTGGCTGCAGACGCTGAAATAAGGTGCCTCTTGACGGCATGGATGGGGTTCATTGGGGGGCAAGGATGCCTGTCTGTGTGTGGGTGGGGCGGGGGGGAGTGTGTTTGTTGGGGGTACCATTTGTGGGAGAACAGGAAATCAAATGAGAATCCAACCATGTCGGTTCCAAAAAGCCAGCAAAAAACGGGAAGTTCGCCAAAGGCACAAAAAAGCCAGAGCCCTGGGTTCATTTCCTGTAGCTGCTGCTCTTTTTTGCGGTAAAACGGATGTGCCGTGCTGCTTTGCAGTCGGAAAGGTCCTCGCTTCCCACCGTCCTAACGGGGAAAAGGTGCTCACTAATGGAGGGACAAGGACGCGTTTTGTTTTTGTTTTACAAATATGTAGTGGCATTCATGTTCCCTTTTCTTACCCACTTAAAAATGGTCAACCCTCCCTGTTTTGCTACCGTTTTGTTCGCTGCTGGACAAAATCTGAATTTGCACAGGTCGGTGCCTTCAGCAGCGTGTGGATCTATCGACGCCGTTGCGCGGAAAACGAGATGCTCGGATTTTTGCAGAGTGGCCGAGCTGGGGTGCCATGGCTGTCCCTTCTTGGTCAGTTGGATTTGGGATAGCTCAGATGCACATTATGCAAATGGTTGAATGCGACGCTTGCCGACCCCCGCTCCCCTTCCAGGGCAAGGGCTTGAGACAATGTGAGCCTCGGGTTCCGAGGTCTCCTCAAAAGCGATATATTTTTTTATTTATTTTTCAGGGTGGAACATGAAAATCAACCTGAATACATTTCTGCGTGCCCTAGATTGGGCTGACAGAAACGCCGAGCACGCTTTGGCTCAGCAGTTGGCACGGGATTCGGCCGAATGAAGCTCAGGCTCGATGGGCGTTTCTTCGGGCCAAAGTCACCCTGGAAATAGTGGCGATCTACTGAACTGAACAGGCATGACAGTCGAGCTTGTGGAGACCAATGTGACCATTAGCCAAAAATTCTGGACTGAGTCGCTTGCTTGGTATTGTTTTGTGCTGTGTTTACATGCTCCGCCAATCAAGATGTATGACCCAAACATACCGTTTGCCTGGACTCAGTCACAAGCCGAACTTGCGGTTCTTTGCGTAGTCCAAAAGTAGCGCACGTTTGGCTGGTTGTTGGTTGTGTTCCTGGCGTTTCGCTTGCGTGCCTCAAATCAGACTGATATTCATTGAAAGCAATGATGAAACTGGCCCAAACAAAAGCTGCCAATATGGTTACAGCCTTTGTGCCTTGTATGGCGTGGGTACTTGCGTGCTTCTTCCGTGAATCCGCTCAATTATGGTTGAGGATATCTTTGCAACTCTGCCAAATATCCAGATTCACCAAGTTTGTACAACTGAACATTGTTTATATTTAACAGCTATATATATATATACAAAGCATAACATGAGGTGCTCGTGTTTAGAGGTTCCCTCAACGGGTACATTTGGCCAAAACAACACCTTGACCACCCAATTTGGAGGCTCCTCGTACAGCAGGTGGTTTTTGGATGTATCCCGGAACGCCATAGAGGAAATCTGAACGTCACTCTCTTTGAGCCTCTCCAGCGCTGAGGGCACCAGTTCCCTAACACCCAAGTATTCCCGCGGTTTTGAGAGCTGAGGTTGGTCTGGAACGGGGGTTTCCGTTTGAATGAAAACTGGCACCAACAACCAGGAACAGCGATGGTTTCTTCAAATTGCTCCCAGGGGAAGGGGGCGACCCTTGATGATGTTTTTGTAGCTTGACCGCTATTTAACTTTTGGGAACTCAAGCGGTTTTCCACCAAACCTACGAAAAGTTCAACTGTTTGCAGGGGGGTCAACAGCAACCAAGGTAGCATACGGCTGAAGACTAACATCATCTTGGATTTGCGTTGGAATTGAAAGCTATCCCAGATCCGGAGACATGACATTGTCAGAGGACCCAAAGCAGACTCGAGAATTGATTGGCGACGTGGACTCATGTATATGGCTTACTTGGTGCGGGGTTTACCTTGGAGTCTGACTCAGTGCGATTAGAAACACCGAAGGTGGCCAGAGGCAACTGCCATGCAACATGCAAAGACAAGCAGCCACTGATTACCTTCCTCAACACCTAATGTTGTCCATGGAATTGGTCGCCCTCCCAAACCAAAAGAGTCGAACCTGAATGAGGCCGCGTGCAAGAAAAAGGTGGTTTTCAAAGATCCCTTCAGGTTCCATGGTTGCTCTTGGAATGAGCAGCGCGAGACACGCGCGATGAGCTTTGAGCAGGTGACTCTTATGCGCGTCAGCGCGCTGGCCTCCCCGGCTTCAATTAAATTGGCCAAAGATGGGAGATATGGGCCATGGTCAAGTCACTGGTCCAAAGCGAATCGACCTATTTTGACCTTTTTGTTTTCCAATTTGGGGTTCGCATTTTTAGTCATGGCCTCAAAGGTTTAACCTTTTATTTCCAGGTCCTTCGGGCAAGTAAGTTAAAAGACTCGTTACTGCAAACGCCTCGAAGCACTGTGTCTTGCTTTGCTTTGAATTGAAGTGTTGTGTTTCGAGTGAGTGAGTCGGCACTGAAATGCGTGAGCTGCAAGATATATGGTGGGTGCATGTTCTCGCCCATTTCCACATGGCTGCAGGCTAGAACGAGAGCCGTCGTCTAAGGGCAAGGGGCCGGGATAGGGGGTGGAATCAAGACAACGGCTCAGGGTTTGGTGCTCCGAGATCGGACCCACTGGACAGCAGATTGCTTCACCTTCCACTCACCAAGCGCCATTGTTGCCCCGAGTTACGTTAACGCGAGAAGGAGCCGTTCTGCCTCTTGGGTCGGCTCGGGGCGCGCGGCATGAGTGGCAGCTTTCGACTGGCCTGCCTAGCTGAATGAACTCCTGCATCGCTTTTACTTTTTAGTGCTGCTTTTTGCAGGCTGGGACACAGGATCTTGCATAGCTTCAAGCTGTTTTTTTCTTCTTCTACTTGGGCGATCTCCCAAAAGCACCATTTTGATTCAACCACCAGCCACTGACGGTCGCCATTGGAGGTTTTAAAGCCGGCCCGCTCGGGTTTGCAGGTGTATCCCAGAAGTCGTGGATTTTGGATGTTTCTGCAGAACAAGGCGTCTGATTTCAGATTCTGGCCCACGGCTTTCTCCTGCAGCCTCAAAGCAACTTCACCTAGCCAGGGCCACACTGGCTTCAAGGACGCACAAGGGTCAGCCATACATCCAGTGCGCAGCACGCGGCTGTCATCTCATGTAGATCTCCTTTCGTCAGTGGCTTGAGCAAATGAAACGCAGGCGATGTCTGTTTGGGTTTCACCTCTGTCGTCGCATTCAGAAATCGGAGCGGCGCCAGTGGCTGCAGCTGAATGGAGTACGGAGTGTAACCTGCTCCCCGGCAGTCCAGGAGCCTGTTCCCGTGATTCCCCTGCTTTCAACTTTGGACCCTCAGCCACGCTTCTGGTGGGCATTCTTTGCAAATTAGTTCACTTCTCTCGGTGCAAAGCTGGAGGCCGCAGGGACGGCCACGGACCCTTAACAGGAAATGTAGGGGGTTCTGGCAGGAAAGCCATGCCCATGACCCACATAAGGAGTTTGATCTTGGCAGGTATCTCAGTTGTGTGTTTGTCTTTTCAAAGGTGGAATTGTTTAAGTCATGAGACTTATAAAGATGCTCAAGCCAAAGTCGCAAACCACACGCTCAGTACAGAAATGAGCTTCACACAGCTCCCCACATGTTTGCAATGGGAATGCCATGATCAAAAGGCACCTTTACTTGGGATTGGGGTGGCCCATGCACGGAGTATTGATTATGGCCCATGTCGTGCCAGCTTGTACGCCCGTGTCCCCGGCGTTGCGCTTGGCAGGTGCTGTGGGGCTTGGCAAGATGCGCCAGTGGCGGGCGAGTGGAGGAGGCGGGGTCCCTCACCCAAGACCTTCAGAGTCGTGCCCTTATAAGTTCCCACCATCATTTAGTCTTGGTAAGGCTACCTGACGGGTGCAACCGGCGTCCTCTGCCGGCCATTCGCTCCGGTTGCCATTTGGGCGTGGCTTAAAATTAAAGAGCGAGGGGTTGCGCAGGTCTTAGTCTTTAGTTCCATTTACCAAGGTGCCATTCTGGTACGTGTTTTTGAGCCACAGCCATCTATGACACTGGCAGGTGGTCCAGATGATGGAAAAGCTTCAGGCCTCCTGTCAGGAGGCCATGCACCAAGAGAAGGCGCGATTGGAATTCGCGCGAGATACTCGGGCGATAAGGATTCGGGTTGGGGGTGAGTCCTGTCTAAGTTTGGATGTTGACTGGTGCAGCTCTGAGTATATCTTTTTGGGAAGTTTTTTTGGACCTGCACGTGATCTTGTCAATAGTCTTGCGCTCACCCGCGCGCCCTTGCATGAGAGCCGGAGCGATGCGCTCAGCTTGCCTTTATCGAGTTCGATGAGTTCTGCAAGTCAGCTGTGGCCGAGACACGGTCCAGCGGCGACCTCAGCAACGGCGTCACCTGCCTGCCCTGGGCCATTTGCAGGTCAGTTTGGGTATATCTCCCAAACCCATGGGAATACAAACAAACATCTAATCCATTTGCAGGGTAAGTCTGAGAACATATTTTGCACATGGAGTGTTCAGGTTGTGCGGACTGCAGACGCAATAGACATAGGACGCTCACACGGCTACTCTACAAATGTGATACATGCATGGCGCAACGTGCGCGAATGGCACAAGATGAGGGCGTTCTTGGATGCTCTAATGCCGCATAGTGGTCCATGGATGCTTTACAGCAGTCTCTTCTTAAGCAGACATACTGTTTATGGATATCCCTTTTCTCAAGTCGCCACAAATTCTGTGATATCAAGGGAATCCCCTTCCAAGTGACGAGGGAGGGGAGCCCCACTTTGGTATCTCAAAGGTTGTTTGCCGCAACTGTCTCCAGATAGGGGACCAATTCTTTCAGGCGGTTGGTTTCCCTTTGTTCCTCCTTGAAAACCAGAAGGGTTGCCCTGATGTACTTCGGAACATCGAAGGGGACGCAGCTACCAAGAGCCACTGAGGCAGAGAAACAGCTGCTGCTGAAGTTGAACGACTTAGAGAAATTCGGCTGCATGGGGTGTCAAAAGGATGCGTGGTTACATGGAAGGTACCCCAGAAACACACGCAAATGGGTTGTATCAGCCTCACTTGGTTTCTCCAAACATGGACTCTGAGCGCCATATCGTCGGTGCCGAGCGAGGCTGAAAGGGACAAGGCCAAGCTCGACGTGCAGGAGCTACGGTGGGTGCCTCATATCGGAGTCATGGTTACTTGGACGTTCCAGGCTAGAATGGTCTACAAGCCCAACCCTTCCAGAAGGTGCCAACCCAGGGCAATCCTTTTTGATCCTTTTTGTGAATGTGGGTCGCACATCGTTCGCGATTTGATGGCTTAGCCTGGCAAGCTGAGAGGAGGTTGAAGAGAGGATGCTGGAATTGGCAAGAAGCCCGGGCCTTGTCTTTATGGATTCTGATTGGCTGATGCCACACAGTCCATGTAAGGCAATATCT